TAACTGACTCAGAATAGTGGAGATTCTAAACATCTATTTGGTGTCTTGTAAACCAATCGATAAGTTATATAATGAGAGCATACAAAATGGCCATTGACCACACATTCTAGAGTAAAGAAAAGATGTATAGTGGCCGTATTGTTTGTCCGTCTACTCTCTACAAGTTCAACAAATAAACCTGATTAAAGAGACTTTATAACTATTGAATTTATTCTTGCAAATTAATAGTCTCGGTCTTCCGGATCGTAAAGGACCACTGACATAAGCTGAAACCCACTGACTGCAATACCACGAGAGTGCTTCGTATCGATGCATCCGTTCAGACGGACAAAGAGGACGGAGCAGAAGAAAATAAGTCATTTAGTACAACTTGCATATCAGCGTCTCCAAACCTTCTGTCTGCTGGCCCCACAGGTCAGTATTAATGCCTGATGACAGAGACTACAATCTAATAACTTCCAGTCTGTGATTATAAGTGTGATAATGATGTCTGGATAATAGAATAGAGTGAGAGGAGTGACCGCTGTCCGTAATTATCATTACAACTGACCTTTTGGAATCAGAATTATTGGTCCAATTACCACATGTTCATCAGCAAGTATTACCTAATCACTTCGCCCACCGACTTTCGTCCGCCGTAATTAATGGGCGTTACATTTGTGTTTGTCCAAGTACGATCTATACCATAATGATGACACTGTAAATTGTTGAAACGTCGTAATTAGTGGGCGTTGTTTTTATGCGTACTTAAGTACTATGTATACCATGATGATGGCAGTGTATATTGTTGAAACGTTGCGTACAATGAAGTAGAATCCCATATTAGCTCATGTAGACAGAATAAATTGCAGAAACGTTGTGTACAATGATGACAATGTGCAAGATAAAAGATCGAAAACTACCACAAGTTTGTTTTTCGTTATATTAATCAAATAAACCGTCAGTCTGAACAAACATTTTGATGAAGCAGGCTTAGGTTTTGAATGAATAACAAGTGATATGTTGTAGTATGGCTCTCTGCAGCTAAATGCCTCCATGATAGCATTTTGGAAGCCTGTCTTTCAGCCTTGATAGACATGTCCGAACGGCTTATGAAGTGAGTGTTAATATTTCTAGATTGAAAAGCGAATTGTAACCTCTTGTTTGATATTTTACACCATTTAAATGACATGCCACATAGTATCTCATTGACTTATTGAATACACAGTTGCCACACGGCAGAACGTAAAACTCAATGTCATTTCCAAAGTTCATAAGACATTTGTCTTGATATCTCTGTAATCAACTTCAATTCAAGTTTCTCCACCGGAAGCAGATTTCTTGGTGCTGTATGAAATCTAGGTCAATCACAATGCACATTTCAGGATCGATATCTCTTGAAGAATAATGTGTTTCAGTTTTTATCTTCTTCATATATTTCTTTCCGGTAATGGCCATTACGACGGAGAATATTATGTCGATCATTCTTTCTAGGTATCTTATTTTATCGGGGTATTTATCACATATTTTATAAATGTACTAAGTTTTATATGATATAGAAGTAAGAAATTCAATGTTTCTTAGTTGATATTTTGAAAAATTTTTGTACGTTCTTTTGGGAATTATGGAAATGCGAAAAACACATATCTTGGTGAAAATAAAAAAAAACTCAGCACAAAAAGTTTTTTCTTGCAATATCTAAATGTGAACCTCCCAGTACAGAGGTGTTACCTTAGCTGTATTACGGGGATCCTTTCTCGATGGTTCTCTTCGGATGAAAAAAATCACAAAATCGATAAAAGGTTGAGTTTTTGTCTTATTCGTTGGAACTCCGCGCCTCTGTCCCTTAGGGCTTAAAAAAAGATTAGATGAGTACTTCAATTTAGGGATAAATGACACATCTCAAAACCTGTTCTCATTTCGTTCATTGCATACTGCATGGCGTTGTCCGTCGTTCCAATTTGGTGCAAAACTCCATTCATTTAATTCAAAAATCTGAAATATTGCGCACGTGACAATAATTGAATTATTATTATTACTTTTAGAATAATTGGGTCATATAATTTGAAATTATAATGAATAATTGAATTAATAAAAACACCCGATACATTGACATCAGACGATCAGACGACCAGACGACCAGACGACATATGCTATGATAAGCATTTATTCGAGACTTGCTGATTCAACTGATATCCTTCAAACAACCATTCATTTATTTACAATGTTAACATCCTGATCCAGGCTTACGAAGATTCTTTCTACCAGCTGGCTAGTCCTTGGAATTGATCTTTCCCGGATTATTCTTACCATTTACGGCTAGGTCGACTGCAATCATGAGGAAATATGACTTATTCATTTCTTATTTACAGCAGGGTCACCTGGAATAATGAGGAAATATGACTTATTTAGTTACCAATTTACAGCTGGGTCAACTGGAATAATGAGGAAAGATGACTTATTTAGTTACCAATTTACAGCTGGGTCAACTGGAATAATGAGGAAAGATGACTTATTTAGTTACCAATTTACAGCAAGGTCAACTGGAATAATGAGGAAAGATGACTTATTTAGTTACCAATTTACAGCTGGGTCAACTGAAATAATGAGGAAAGATGACTTATTTAGTTACCAATTTACAGCTGGGTCAACTGGAATAATGAGGAAAGATAACTTATTTAGTTACCAATTTACAGCTGGGTCAACTGGAATAATGAGGAAAGATGACTTATTTAGTTACCAATTTACAGCTGGGTCAACTGAAATAATGAGGAAAGATGACTTATTTAGTTACCAATTTACAGCTGGGTCAACTGGAATCATGAGGAAAGATGACTTATTTAGTTACCAATTTACAGCTGGGTCAACTGGAATAATGAGGAAAGATGACTTATTTAGTTACCAATTTACAGCAAGGTCAACTGGAATAATGAGGAAAGATGACTTATTTAGTTACCAATTTACAGCTAGGTCAACTGGAATAATGAGGAAAGATGACTTATTTAGTTACCAATTTACAGCTGGGTCACCTGGAATAATGAGGAAAGATGACTTATTTAGTTACCAATTTACAGCTGGGTCAACTGGAATAATGAGGAAAGATGACTTATTTAGTTACCAATTTACAGCTGGGTCAACTGAAATAATGAGGAAAGATGACTTATTTAGTTACCAATTTACAGCTGGGTCAACTGGAATAATGAGGAAAGATGACTTATTTAGTTACCAATTTACAGCTGGGTCAACTGGAATAATGAGGAAAGATGACTTATTTAGTTACCAATTTACAGCTGGGTCAACTGGAATAATGAGGAAAGATGACTTATTTAGTTACCAATTTACAGCTGGGTCAACTGGAATAATGAGGAAAGATGACTTATTTAGTTACCAATTTACAGCTGGGTCAACTGGAATAATGAGGAAAGATGACTTATTTAGTTACCAATTTACAGCTGGGTCGACTGGAATAACTAAGACTTATCCAGTTCCCATTTACTGCAGAGACAGGAGGAATTATGAGGAAAGATGACTTATCATTTCCTATACAGTAGGGCCTTCTGGAAATAATATGACTTATTCAAAGAATTTCGCAGGAACCCACCACCTTCATCAGTTGTGGAGCCCCGTGCCCCCCCGTGCCCGCCCCCCTCTGAGCCCCGAGCAAGTTTTGCGGGCAAAAATCTCATGACTAGGTTAGAATTTCGGGCAGATATTTGGCCCCCCCCCCCCCCCCCTCCCCCTCCCTTCTCGGACGTAAACCTGACCTCCATTTGTTCGGCGTAATCATGCACATGGCATCAAATACTAATGCTGAAACCAACTGTGATACAGACCGTCCGACGAAAATAATCAAACCCATTTGATACAATCAAAAGGATAATGTCATTGGCGAAGACAGAAGACCTTGTAAAATTGAGATGTTAATAATATTTGTGTTTATACTGTGTTATTGATACATGTATTATTGATTAACTGACTCTACTGTACCGTTTAATTATCACTTAATCTTTCTGTCCTAACCAGCTTGTTGGGGTCATATAGGTCACAAATAGATTGTCTTTTCGGAACGGGATGTAGCACTGTCCTTGAGAGCGACGGAATCTTTACTTGATGTCATTTACTAAATAACGTCGAACAAATGGTGGTCGTAGGTTCTAATCTCTGTCGGCTGGTGAAAATCAGGCTTCCTTAAAAAATGCCATGTTCACTAAAACCATGTTTTGGAAATTGTTTTTAACCGAGAAAGACCATTGGAATCTACAAACCAATGGCCAATGTAATCGAGTGGTAAATTCGGTAACTTCATGGTAACTTTGATTTACCTTGCGCATTTATCAACCTAATACTGCTTCTTTAAGTTGATTGAAACTAATTGATAAATGTTACATTTAGATTATTGATTTTTATTGTTACTTTTACCTTATCGCTTAAGTTTATCTACGTATTCTGTTTTGTTTCATTCCAATAGTTTAATGGGTATATTTTGTTATGGAGAAAGTGAACTGCTGGCACATATTAGAGTTTACTCAGTCTTGTCATTTTTCTTTCATTATGATAACTATATTTGGGACTTTTGAGATATAAACGTAAACATTAATGATTTCATATCTGGTAGAACTCTATTTCAGCTATCCGTAACGCTTTCAGAATTACGACGTTTGGTTCGTCTAAAATTAAAGCAGCCATATTGGTACAAGTGGATTTGTTTTCTGTTTACCTTGTTTCATTATTACCACGACCCGTCTTTCAGAGAACTGTAGCGAAGAGTGGCGAGAAACATTCAAGGGGCATAATTTTCTAGGATACTGTAAAACACTGGAATACACCACACCACAGTGTAAACTGTCGTTGAGTGTATTTAATGATACCACCACCAGTGTTTGTATGAAAACATCCATGGAATATAATATGGTGTAAACTGTTATTAGCTTGTTTATCAACTGACTGATATTATAATGGCCGAAGTAGAAATTAATTGATAGGTTTAACTTGTCAGCTATTATTGGGATATAGTCAACAAAATGGTTTATCGAGTACAATATCGTGTGGGAACAGGGGGATGGGGAGGGGGGACGTAGGTGATTATCAGGAAACACATGTATTGGATACACAATCCTCATCAATAAGATGGGCGGATATCTTGGGGTAGACTAGGTTTTACGAACGTACTTCTTCGACAACTACTCTAAATAATACTATATGCTTGCTTTCCACAAAGTCGCCTTGACATGAAATGAAATGGCGTTATAATTTCTGCACCTGATTAGTTTAATAAATTATGACGGCGATTTAAAACAAGGTAAAGCTAAGACGCAGTTGCACGATTGGATCAATGGTAAGATATTATAAAGATTTAAAATACCGCTGTACTAAAAACACCAGTTCATTAATCATTTCAGTCAGCCTGGAATTTTAAGTAGACAAATTCTTTCAATCAAACAATCGCAAGGTTTAGTGGTTTATATCAGTACTTAAAGGGAAATGCAAGTAAAATAACATAATTCGTTTGTCGTGTAACGCCATAAATGGTCTACCATAACTACCAAATAGAAAAGCTGGGTAACACTTCGGTATTTCTGTGGCTGTCCTAAAGGGGTGTTAGGCAGGATTGTTGACGGCTAGGAGATTAGGTGCCATGGTTTCGAATCGTCTTCAAAAACGTACAAAAATCTAATGTCATGGCCACTTCTTCCAATAGTTTGTCTGATAACACCTAACAACTAAATTTATGCTTATTCTTAATGGTTCCTTGAAAAAAGAACATGATAATTGGTATTGTCTAATCGTCTTAGAATGGTTGAAAGTCTGATAAATATTGGGTTGGGTTCAGATATTGGCCCGCATCCATAAAAACTAATTCTAATGTATGGTAATTTGGAAATTGATCAGTTAGATTGCCTCCGCCCTTACATTTATCATCCTGGGCGAATCATACTGATTAAATTCACTGGTTGGAACATTACAAGTTCTAGCATAAGTAAGATCGGGGTCACTGCTATGGTGTAAATCGATGCTAACAATATTTCAAATACACATGGTTCAGAAATAAAAACAAAACGAACGATCAGAACTGTAAAACGAAACCGAAATCAAAATATTTGGTAATACACATTGGTTGCAGCAAATTAAATTTTCATATAATAAATAAGTATATCAAACATAAAATATTTCATAACGAAAAGTGGTATCAGGTGTCTAGAAGAATAAGCACACCCCCTTTACAATCTCTATTTAGAAGGCAGTCAGAGGTTTCGGACTATTTCAATGACCTTGAAATCGCAGCACACCAGTCTGGACGACGTCCGACAATAACTCTAGTTGTAATAGTTTATAATGGAATAATCAATGATGTACCAACCATTCTACCTAGACATTTATCATATTAACTGTATTGCATTGATTCCTCTATAATTACTGGTTAATAGAGTCTTCATTGAGTAGTAGCTCCAAATAACCAGTTCTATTACCCAAGTTCTAGCCGTATGCTACATCTACACACCAAAATACTACTTAAATTGTTAATTAGTAGAGTGGGGTGTTTAAAAGGGTCCAGTCGTTTGGAATGTCTGCATACATACAACCAAGATACTAAGAATCAATATTTGTTTATATAGCTTGTCTGTAGAGGTCCTAGAATTGAAATGATAAGTTATGTGGACTGGCAGACATGGTTGACCAGTGCAGTCAGAAACCCTTAATTCTACAAGTCAACAATTGTATTGGACTGAAATCATTCAAAATTCTATCTATAAATAATAATGAAACGAAATACTGAAACAACAGAATTTTTTAATTCTATTGATCAATTCAATTCCCAAAAAACAATTGTTGACAGAAATGAGAAACTGATTACATGTTACTGGTTTTGATTATGTTTTAAATATCATTCATTTCAGACCAGTTCATTATCTTCATCACAAACTGAGCAACCTTTCAATTTAGTGCAGTTTATTCAAATATACTCGTTACAATCACGTTAAACGACACATCTGTGCTTATTTTACTGCAGGTCATGCAGTCCTTGATCTGATAGATAAATATATGTATTCATGTACTAAGAAATTTTTACCCGATAACACCAAGTTCTTACTAACCAATCATAAAACAATACTTTATGCAATGCTATGGCTATAGTATGTGCTGCTTTCTACTGTAAACCACTAAAGTTCCTTATAAAAAGTTTTCTTTCTATTTTCAGATAAAATAAATGTAGAAGAAACAGAGAAGTCGTTGGGTACTATAGTTAGTTTAGTGAGTAATTGGGAATGCGTCCCTACCGTCCTGGACAGTTTACCTGGCTACACCTGTAATATTCTGCATATTTTGGACCAAACAGAAAGCGCGGCTATAGAACGGTTGATTACTGAGTTGTTTAATCAAATAGTACAGGTAAGACAGGTGTTTCTTGGTTGTCGTGGTGCAGAAATGTAGGACGTAAAACTCCATTCATTTCATTTCATTTCTTGGTTGTCCTGAGGGAGGGAGGGGCCATCTTCTCAATGTCAAACTATTACGAATTTCGTCTCATACTTTGACTGCAAAAGCCACTTTTCTTGCATCATTGAAGTTTGTAAATACATTAATTTGGTTGGATTGTTCGTTAGCGAATACAGCCAATCAGGGGCCTCGACAGATAGTCTGTAAACAATAAGTGATAATGCTTACAATCTGACTATCAAGGGAGAGGATTGACTGTATTTGCTGGCGTACAATCCAATCAAATGTTCGTCTGAAATGCCAAATACCAACAAGCGCTTATTGATTGATTAAGTCAAAACTTGGCTGTTATGGAATCGTGTCATTCTAATTCTGATTGATAAGAGCTCATCTGGTGATGCCGACACGTGTTTCGGATTTAAGATCCTCATCAATACAACTGGGAATAGCTTTATCCAATTTAATAACAAGAATATGGATCCTATACTCAATATCTCTACCAATCAAATAATTTAAATTACCAAGTGCTCGCTCCGAAGTCCGCGCTCAATAGAATACATCTTAATCCCAAACTATAATTTGTGATTTTACGAAAGATTATTTCAATTCAGATATTTCCGCTTATCTACCTGAAAATAATTTAATTAAATTTTTAGAGGAAGTGACGTCACCAACCCCAATGTCTTTATACCCAGTGTATGAAATATAACAATATAACAACTCGGAGTCTATGAACATTAGTCAGGCAATAAAGATAATGTCATAGAGCTATCTGATGGAACTTGTCCATCCCAATGGCTATTATAGTTAGCTTGACAATTACGGCCGTACATCTAGAAATGACTTTGTGGGTACCAAGGGAGCAATTCAATAAATTTCTATCATATTTGTTCTTCTCCTAGTGTCGTATCAATAACAATACTCTTATCTCGATTTGTTATTCGAGGTCAGGTTCTCTATTCGGTCCGCTCAGTTCAAATATTCCGACTTCCATTCTCTAGAGTGAGATCACTGTACTCACTTGCATGTACCTGAATTCTTGGAATTGCTATCTTAGTGTTTACTTTATAGTAGGTCGTTGAAATTTATGCACAACATAGATAGTCTAAATCTTAATATACTGAAACGAACTTCAACAAACGTGTACCGGCTTTACCACTTTGGTGTTCCTTTCGTAACGATCAGTCTGTTTTGGTATTTATGACAATCAAATTTGGTCTTGTAATATATAGAGAGAAAACCGTGATATACGGAAGTAAAACAATAAAGTTATGTTTATTATTTGTTCCTAGAACAATTTGGAGCGATAGTTTATTGTTGGTGTCGCCATATATCTGAAAATATGATATACAAAAAACCGTGATATACAGAAAAAGCAATAAAACTTGAATCACAAATCATGTCCTTGAACAATCTAAAAACAACAATTATGAATATGTAACCTTTCTGAACTGAAGTGAAAGTAAAATATTTGTAAAGTGCAGACAAAGAAGTTGACGGATTGATTAATTCAGAACTTCTTGTGAGCGACATTAATTCTAAAATAACCTTTTCAATTCCAGTGACATTTTAATTACCTTTTGTATTCAAGTGGTATGTTTTGTCTTCGAGGGAATGTTAAGAGTAATTCTTGATTTTTTCAAGTCTAAAGATCTCAAAAGGATGGGGAGAATAACCTTTATTGCAGTGTAGTGATCTGAAATGTAGATAAACACATCACAAATAAGCATTATAACCGTTCTTATGGTGGGAGGGGGGCTGTGTCCTGCCACATTAAGCTACCAATCTTAGGGCCGGGGTAGTAGAATTTGGGATAATCGGACTCAATTTGTTTTCCTCAATCTGGTGATTAAAATATAAAATGTAAAAACGTTGTGTGCAATAAATTCCCAAAGTATTATGGCAATGTAAATTGTGGAAACGTTGTAAACAACAAAACTGATAATAAGATCAGAGTGTTTTGATAAGTAGATCAAGCAAGCTATTTGATTCGCTGATATTTGAAACCAGTGAAGGTTAACAACCGTCTTTGAAAATATCGATTTAACAATTCATAATCTAGTGTCTCTTCAATCTCTGGGGAATACTCAGTTTGTTTGATCAACTTGTTTATTAATGTTTTAGAATTATAATCTGACACTTGAAGCTTTCCTTGAAAATGGTTGGTTGATAGATGACAAGTTATTGTCCGCTTACAGCTAACTGATATCGCAGACTAGGTAGTTGTTGGTAGATGGCAAGTTAATGTCTGTTTCCCGATAACTGATATCTCAGACAAGGTAGTTGTTGGTAGATGGCAAGTTAACGTCAGCTTCAAGCTAACTGATATCGCAGACTAGGTAATTGTTGGTAGATGGCAAGTTAACGTCCGTTTCCAGCTAACTGATATCTCAGATAAGGTAGTTGTTGGTAGATAACAAGTTAATGTCCTCTTACAGCTAACTGATATCACGAACTAGGTAGTTGTTAGTAGATGACAAGTTAACGTGTTAATGTCTGGTGATTTTGAATCAATCGTCTTCTTTCATTATTCCAGTCGGTACGGATAATCTGGAAAAGATTAATGCTCGGGGTTTTGGTCACTTGAAATGACCTTAGCGAACCTTAGTTGTCATCATTGTTAAAATAAAATGGTACGTTTTTTCTTTCAAAGATAATAAGACGAAAGCGTAATTTAAGAGAAAGGTTAACCACAGTGCAACTAAATTTACAAAAAAACAAAGAAGAACTATTGCGCAAGATGGCTGTCGTGGCAAGCATTTATCACTAGAATTTAATCTGTCGCGAAGTCCGCCTACTAGTTTCTACCTAGAATTAGTTCTATTAATTCTACGGATTAAAATAGAATTGTAGAATGGTTTGAAATTTCTATTGTCAGAAAAATAATCTCTTCCTTGTCCACGACGACATTTGGTCTTTAGGTTCAACTGAAGAAACAGTGCTAGAGTATAGCCGACTGAGTTATAAATGAAATTGGTTTCAATCCATACTGATTTGCTCCTTAATAGCCGAAGGACAGACAAGTAGGAGTTTTTAACATCGTCTGTAGTGGTGATGTTCGGTCAGATAGACTGATCGGTGCAGAAAACAAAAACAGAAGCGCCACCTATCCACATGGCGTACGGGCCCACAACTGGTTTATTTACTTCTTCTATTTTCTGCTGGATTGATAATCCCTTACAATATACGATGTAATAGCCACCTTTCTTGTATCACAGAAATTGTAAATGCAGCGATTTCATTTGATCTGTACGCTAGTGAATATAGTCAAGGATTACTACCTTGATTGAGTATTTGGGGTGCATGGAAGTCGCAAACTAATCCATTACATTCCATTATAACATTCTATAAGACCATCTTCATCATTGGTAAAGATATTAAAGTCTATATACGGATTATTGACTTTCAATGGGTATGTGGAATTTCCGAAAGGTTATAAAGGAAGCATGGCTTATCGTTGGAATCAGATTAAAACTATTTCTTCAGACTATCGCTTCTATTCGTCAATATTTAGTGAACACAGTCCTGCTATTAGATGTATCTATTTAGGAAAGTAAGCTGATCGTGACGGGGAACGTCTGGACGATAACTGATAACTTCCAACTAGTCTGATATACTACCATAAATAGTTGACTTTAAATCATGGAAATAGACTCGCAATATATTCCACTATCGCCTCATGAATATTTAAACCTCGTTTATGATGCCGGTCCGTTATTGGACTCTTTAAAACGTGGCGTTATTGTCACCCGTCACGTTACACCGCATGCGAGACTACGCATGGTTCTTACATTTAATTACCACACACGAACGTAGTTCACAGCCATTTTGAATGGCTTAATAAGTCGAATTTTGAAAGGGCTATAATATTTTAACTAAGCCTTCAAATCAAATTTTATGGTTTAGATATGCTTTTAAATGCGATTTGAAGGCATGTATGTGTTATTTCCATGTAAGAATGTGTCGTTATTGTCACCTGTCACGTAAGACTGGGACAATTACGTTGGTTGAATTACTCTTGTACAATTAAGTTTATCACAAAGTTGACACATCGTTTGTTATTTTTAACTCTTTCATTCAGAAATAAACTGAAAACAACAAGTTTTTATAGAAACAATTGTATAAAAATTCGATAGTTCAATCATTGTACAATTTATACTTGGAGTTGAGTTGACAAACACAAAACATGGTTATTCTCAACTTTTGAGATCATTCTCCTCAACAAGTCAAAAACTGTTACATAATTCTATCGTGTGTGTCCTGAGGTTAACCTCGTATTGGGTTGAGGTAATGTTCATCAGTGGCGGAGCCAAAGGTGGGCAGAGGGGGCAGCCGCAAGTTTTTCGGGCAAAAATCTCACAATGATATTAGAAATTCGGCCAATCTCAGATATCCCCCCCCCCCCGCCCCCCCCCCCCGGGACATAAACATGGCTCCGCCACTGATGTTCATGATGCTTGGTTTTATGATTATACATCTGACCGCACTATTGTATATTTTTAGGATGTGTATAAGTTTCAATATCTAGCCTTCAATCCACAGCTCTCGACCCTAATTGTTTCAGGTCCCCAGAATCCCCTTCAGCGCGATAAATTTACGCTATGTTCCGTCTCTTCAGCCAAATGTCCCATGTACGATATCCATATGAAATACTAGGTTCAAAACAGCCACAGTCATGGCTGCGTCCACGTTATTATAAGTAGACGTGGGATTCCCATAGTTCATCTTGTCTGGAACGTACTCTTCGATGAAACTGGATATAGCATGAGCAAGAGGTATATAAGGAATCAAATATTTTCGATTGAGCTATTCAGTACGGTTGAACGACATCGTTGATTGAGTTGAAGCTACAGGAATCAATATATCCTCGGAGTAAACAATATGTAAAGTCAATGATGATATACTATAGCTACCTATTATTGGTTAATTAGTGGAACTCGACCCGGTCACTGCAGTCCATTATATAGGAATAGCAACTGGATAATGCTAATTAACGACATTTCAAATAACTTCCTAACTAATATCTGCCCAGGCTGATCAAAGTACAGATCTAAATGATTCCATGTTTCTGTCATCCATCAAACTGTACGAAACGAAACATCGATATCTTCGTTTTAATGATATTTTTTAACATTCATTCATTATATTGTCTGAATGTTAGACAGGACCACGTCCTTGTGTATTGGGCCTCATGACCCATTGGGTATTCTGACCCATGTAAAATAAATAGTTTATTAATGTTATCATTTTTATTAAAGCCCAAGAATGAGCGGGGTTCTTGGTTAATATATTTTTAGCCGTAACGTAGGACAACTCCTAATGCAAGGTGTAACTGTACTAATGGAAGCATTGTCTGTTGCAAAAGCATTAAATGCCTCACAGAAACGCCACTGCTACAATTCATTAAGTTGGGTTGGGGAATAGTAACGCGACTGAGTTCCAAGCTATTCTTGAGACCCCCCCCCCCCCCCCTCTAAGTAGGCGGTTGAAACGCCACTGCGAAGAGAAACCTTGACCCTGGACGATGCACTTGGTATCACCTTGATTACTGACCAGGACATGACAGATGTTTATGTCCAATTTCATATATGTCAAATAATCACGGTACAATAGACCACGAACAAATCTTATTACTATATTAATTGGAAAAGTGAAGTGGGTCTATTCTACTGGTTTATTATAAATACAGATGCTTTAATCAGTAAATCAGCGAGGTCATCAGAAAGGATACGAGATGAAGCTTTTACGTTCCATTTATCCGCAATTTGTTTTGTTTTTGAAGAGGTCAACTTCATGCATTGTACAATGAGGGAAATTTTTCACGACAGCAGCACTATCACAGGCTTGTACTTGTTGAGGGATCTTTAATTAGTACAAGGTTTTGTAAGGTTTGGTTACCGAGAAAATTAGAATAACAAAGATTTATATAATGCCATTACTTGCTTAAATTATCAAACCCCCTGTCGTCCATACTAAAAGGTCATACTGTATTAAGCTCTATCAGATTGAATTGATTAATTAATGAATAATATTGCACCCCTTGAAGACATTTACTGAATGGTTTACAGACTCGAATGTTATTTGCCTATAAGCTTCTTAATGGTATATAAAACCTCGACAAAACACTCGCTGTAGGAAAACCATTGTCCTAGAAAACCTTGACATTATTATCCCGATGTTAATTAAAACAGATGAATAATTAATGATTTAATTACTTTCGTTCCAATATTCTGTTAAGATTATAATTATCTCCCTTTTCGCGCTATCATAACTTTTTCTAGACTTAAAGAAGCACACCCACTCAAATTCTCTTATCTTAAAGGAATACTACCATTTAGAATGAACATAAAATGTAAATTCTGACTTTGACCAATGAGAGTAAACTAGTCTGATATGTTTAGTCAGTCATAAATTGATCTGATTGTATCTCATGATGTTGACCTTGCAGATCATGCTTATCACCCCTGATGGTACTTCTCTTCGGCGAAGTCCACTTCTATATAACTTTCACTCCCAATTTTACCATATTTTGGACGAAACCTTTTGATCGAAAATGCAGGTATATTCAGACCTAAAATGACAAAACAACATAGTTGTGTTTGTAAACCTGAAAAATGTGCCAGTCATTGCGTATTAGGATCAATAAAATGATTTAAACCGGAAATGACGTCATATATGAGCGACGTCACCGCCTGCTGGAAACTGCTTGGATAGAAACATTTTAACTAAATATAATTTTGACTTCAGATGAGAATTATGTAAGCTATGTATGTCTGTGGGTCATGTGGGAAATTTATAATCTGATTTCCGGGATTGATTCTGCCCACCAACACTCCCCTCCAGCCATCTACAACATCTAAATTAATGATGGTTATGTACAGCGATTTTCAGACCAGAATAATCAAACCAAGATAAACATTATTGGCTATCAGAACTCCTCTACGTGAATGCCTAGGACTTTAATAGAATTTAAAGGGCTCAGAGCAGGTTATTCTTTCCCTATGTCCCTATAGTGACTAATTTTGTGTGGCTAGTCGATAGTGAATGAAAGCCGTTAATCGAACCGTCAGAGGCAGAGACATCAGAATGTGTCTAACCAGAAAATAATTCGAACCAATCGCACCTAATGGCCCAGAAGACGACGATCAAACCAGCTGTGCTACTCCACTGCCACAAAAAAGTTTTTTAAATTGTTTTCAAATTTGTATCTTTTTTCTCATTTCAGACATGTTACATTCAACTGCAGAAAACTTCACAGAGAGACGAAAAACATCAGATATTTCTCCATCTGTCTAAATTACTGACCTCGTCTTTGGAATTAATCCGAGGTCGTCAGTCGTTACATTTCACAGCGTTAAGTACGATCAATCGGATTATAGATATGTGTATAGTGCACAGGAATTATGAATACGGCTCCGTTACAAAAAGTGCTGATTTTGACACTCCGGCTGATAACAAGGATATATGGCCCTCTACTATCAAACGTAAGGAGCAAGGAGTTGGCAAACATGAGGAAAGTGGACAATCCACTCTTAACAGAATTGCCTCACTTCATAAAAGGAGAACGAGTGTTCATGATACGCATGCGGATAAACATAACGATGAGGAGGAAGATGGAAAACATTGTCCTCTTCATCAAAACAGGACACCGTTGGAAATTATGATGTCGATGGACCCTAGCTGCCTCATGTCGGTGTTACATAATAATATTACTATGCATAAACGGATTATCGGTACCCGCCAAAAGTGCACTCCTTCCGTCAGGTGGCGCCACTGTACGCATCATTGTTTACAGATTCTAAGTGCCCGGATTGTTACTGTGATGTGTCATGGAAGTATTGTGCAAAACAAAATAGTGAGTGGTGGACATGTTCGGACTTTAGTTGAAGCCTTAGATCCTAACCATGATCCGGTAAGTACCTTTATCATTGAATCTGAAGTGCTGGTTATTGTAAATCGTGTCACTATACGATGCGTACAATATTGGTGTATATCTCCGTGTACTTTGCGTTTCATCAGTCGGCTCAACCTTCGCCAATGTTCTTTATTCTCCTTGAGTTGAACATTGACCATTCTACTCCCGAAGTTGACACGAATGATGTTTCTTTTGACTTGTTTCATTTACCGTCTCTGATTCTGGACACATCTTTATCCGATTAGATACAGTAGCATCGCCCTTGAAATCAAACTTTAAATTTACAGATCACCTTTACTCACACATAACTACACACAGGTAATGACTACAAGACACCCATAGAAAATATAAGAAGTGGACATTAGAGAGGTTTTCTGTTTCCCAATGAACTACATGACCAATTACGAAAAACCAACAGAAATATATAAAACGAAATATAGAAACATTGCATCAATCAGACTATAGTGTTATGAATCATAGTTATAGCCAGGAGATTAATCAGAAACATCTAAACAACTACATTAGTTAATTAAATAATAAAATAAACCGACCGTTCCCAGTCATTAAATCACGCTTTATATTTTACTAGGATCATCATTTCTATTTGGAATTTTAGCCTACATTTTATAAAGAATCTCGTTAACTAGAAATAATTATTTTGTCGCAACCTTTGTCGGGATTTCACTTTTTAAAAGAATGGTCTTTTGATCTCGGAGCTAGATTGATTCTGTGACAATCGACAGCTCAATAAGTACTCTTGGTTCCACTTCAATCGTGTCTCAACAACCAACATACGACAAAGAGCTGAAGACTTTCCTTTGTTACAACTTGTTTGTCAACCATTTGTCGCTCGGGGCCAGTTTATTACCTTCGTTAATATAGAGAGAATTGACCTATCCTTTTACAGTAATCAGAAAAAAATCGAATGAGAATTCTGTTTTGAACATTGTCTTGTCTGTTGGCACATTCAAGTATTGGTGTTGTTCAGGACATGGTGATCAACTTGTACCTACAAGTTTTTTTTTTTTTGACAAGCCATTAATAATTCTAGCAAAGAAGATTCTTACTCTCTACCCTAAGTTCCTCTGCGTAGGGCTTTGTTTCAGAAAACATTTTGCCTTGAGAAATTTCAACTCGTTCACCAATGCCAGTGATACAGTCTGGATAAAGAATGTCGCAAAATTTACCTCGTTACACACGATATGGTCTTGTCTGTTTTCACCAATATCTGAATCAAAAGCAGAAAAGTAAATTAGGACGCAATCAGTCCATGTCATCTATAGAATATATATAGAACAAGACTCGGTATAAGTTTGGATATTTCTTGTCAAAACCTATATTGATGACGGTTTATTTTAGGATTAGACACGTGAATGCTCCATCAATGCCGGACTCCACGGCTTTTCTTTAATATATATTTTTAGCTTGGATTGAGAAATGTCAAGAAGGCAGACGATTGAATTTATTAGCTTAATTATATCACATTTTTTATGAATTGTTAACAAATTGCGTTAAATATACAATGTTGAGAACGGTTATGGTAACTGCCTAAAATTCTGCGGTCAGGTCAGACCAACTTTTCTGAAGAAAATATAACCATCATTTTGTCGAAAGTGTACTATTGTTCAATGTAAATTACATAATTACGACACATGCTTATCGCAAGATGTTCAAGAGAATAGGAACATTGTTTTTAGAATGCCCAGTGCCCGTGTGTTATGCTTCCAATGGCCTGTTTTGGATTGTGGTGACAAGGCAGGGATTGTCTGTTTGGGAAAACGTCAGTAGCTTTACTTTTGCGGTCATTGTACCTCAACCGAAGGTCATTGGTATCTGTAAGCTGTCAAACTATCAAATCAATTCCTAGTACTCGAATTCCTAGTTCGTGACGTCCTCAACATTGATATTGTAACTATCTGTCGAACGTCTCTGATTATTCATTTAATGTGGTCACGATACGTTCGGACAAAATACGGCTGTCATGTCATATCATCTCAGACAATAGCGGCAATGCGATTGGTAGCTGCAGTTGTTTTTTCTAAACACAATGATATTGGTAGTTGTTTTTTCAAAACGCAATGATATTGGTAGTTGTTGTTTCAAAACGAAATGCTATTGGTGGTTGTTGTTTTTAAACGAAATGCCATTGGTGGTTGTTGTTTTTAAACGCAATGATATTGGTAGTTGTTGTTTCAAAACGAAATGCTATTGGTGGTTGTTGTTTTTAAACGCAATGCTATTGGTAGTTGTTGTTTCAAAACGCAATGATATTGGCAGTAGTTGTTTCAAAACGCAATGCTATTGGTAGCTGCAGTTTTAAAAGCAATGTTATTGGTAGTTGTTGTTTCTAAACGCAATGCTATTGGTTGCTGCATGTTCGAAACGCAGTGAGACTGGCCCAAGCGCGATTTTGTTGTTACAGTTTCTGTTTCTGAAATCACGCTGTGGTCAAATTTGGAAATAACATGAATAATGTGTCAAATAATCGTATGGACAAGACCAAATGATTGTCTTGTAGCACATGTAAATGTAAAAATATCTAAAAAACCAATCGATTTGGTCAGTGTCCTTTCTTCGTCTACGGTTATTCTATTCTCAGCTATCATTAAAAACATTTTATTTCTTTCAAGTAAAATATGGAAGTCTTTAAATGAAGTATTTGTCTTTCTTCGTTCAGCTACCAAATTCAATTTTTCCGCTCGAAGAAGCAACAATTATATGAAAGAAAGTTATAACTGCCGTTGTTCTTCTTTAGGAGTTTCTGTGATTAGTCCGAAACAACTTAACTCTACCATTGCCTTTGACAGCCATTTGATTATTATAGGCACAGGTTTATGGAGAAAACCATTGGTGAAATCATATTATGCAACGTTTCGACGTGTTTCTGTTGTCGTCCTCACGCACACGAAGAAGCTATTAAACTGTTTTTAAACTTGTTGCGTTTTGATAGCTATTTTATATTTGGCAATTGCCGGTTCTAAAGGTCTCTATATGATTCAAACAAATTGTCAAGCACACCAGGGTGCTATTTGATTTTTTTTCTAATATTTTGATGAAATGAGTAATCGTTGTTTTATGAACTTCATTTAGTTATAATATCTACAAACTCTTTCCAGTTTTAAATTCTATTAACACTCATTGCAGACAACACATGTTTCTAATTATACCAATTAAATAGGTTTATATTTCAACTTACAACAGTGTAAAACAAAGCATGATGGCTATTTCCGCTTCTCTATCTGAAATAACTCTCAGAGGACAGATAAGAGTTGGGCTGTTTCGGGCTAGTTAGAGATGTGAAGAGCTCTAATGAAGTGGAAACAAAGTTAATTTCTTTATCATTACCTTCTTGTGTTTTCTCTCAGTCTTTTCAATCATTCATTAACTTCTGGAGAAGGTAGCCTTTTTATCCTCTTCAAGTTCTGTCAATTTAAAAACACTGGTCCTAATTACTTGTGGTTCTCTTAAAGGTCCCTAGATAGTTGGGAATGGAAACTGGCAAGGACCTTGCTACTCTACTAAAAATACTCATATTTGCTTCAAACCAAATAAAGTGGTGAAACCTTGTAAGAAAACCTTCATCGTACTTGGACTTGGATTTATAGGAGTTAAATATATAATTTTGGAGATTGTACGTATTGAACTTCCGGATCTGTTCATCCTCAACTTTCGGCCTTGCAGATTTTAAAGTATGCTTGATCACAGAAATGCAAACATGGCTGTTATAGGTATCTATCGATTGAAAGGCGTGAGTAATATCAACCAGTAGAATTTTGAGCACCTTTTGTGATTAAGTTTTCGGACCGTTCGGCAACTTTCAGCAGTTTCAGCCAGTTAAGTGCGAGCTGGTCTTTAACAGTCAACGATCTGTATTCGGTCAGTTTTATACCAAAGTACGTGACAATTACGATCAATTCCAACGGTTGTAGGGCAACTAGCCTAGATTCAGAGGTGAACACTTTCCTATTGTGAAAATCACAGTACTGGAATTGAGTTATTTGTGCAAAACTATATGTGACTTAAGAATAAGGTATTATTTCATGCAGACTACATTGACTTCGCTCATCAGAACTTTGCTTTCGTCATCGCAATATTATTGGAGTTATATTCCCTACTTGAATCGTTATAGTTTTATGCAATTATGGCGTGTCAGGCATCACTTAACCTCAGAAAATACTAAAAATATTTTTAGATCTATAACAATTTCGTGTTGGGTTTTATTTTATATCTTTTTGACATAAAAAAGCTTATCGGTGACGTGAAAACTTTGAGTTCGGCCTCTTCTTTAGACTTACGTACGTCATTCGCTTTATGGAGGATGTAAATGATATGAAAGGAATGGAAATTTTACGCCTTGCTTTTCTCTTTGTTATAGGGTTAATGTAATGAAATAAGATTTATGCCCTTTCTGCTCTTGGATGGAATAAGATAAGGTCACGCAGTGTAAAGTGAGCGAAAGGACAACGGCAATGCCCTTCATTAGTAACAAGAGGATTGAGAACTCCACTGCCACGTTGTATGCACTACAAGCAAAGACTTAAAGGGGAACAGTTGGCATTTTCGGGGATTGATTTGGGTCTTTATTGTGCTTTAATATGTGTTTTCTATATATGGCATAGAGTCACTAAAATTTGTGTCGAATTTTTATTTTTCAATAATTATGGATTTGAAGGTTCAAATTTCGACGATGAGCTGTGAACCCTATTACTGATTATATTAGCTAAAAAAATCCTGTTTCTGAAACTAAGGTATGATTGGTCGAACGGATAGTGAAGGTGCTCCTTAAATTCAATCCAGTAAATGCACATCAGGTCTCATAAGCTTCTTGCCAGAACAATTACTTCTCTTGCTACAGTAAACTGTTTTGACCCAGTCTTTGTAGACCATTGTAACGAGGTGAACAAGTTGCAAATTGAAGACGATTTAAGATCGTCATTATTGATTAAATTCCGTTTTGTAGACTTTACCACTTGGGAAAATAATAGAATTTAACACGTAACAATTGATTGCAGACATGATTATTCTATATATGGTAACGTAAGTACGCAAAAATCGATGACGTAATGATCTGAAACACTGAAATGAAGACGTCACATCTTTGAATTTTAGTCTTGTGGATGTGAAGAGCCTAGAAATAATATCCTAAAGTTCTTTTGTGTAAGGACCTACAGATGATTTGACAATTATTCTAGGTCATCTTCCTTGCTTGCCAGCAATAGTACTATACCAACACAAAATGTTTTGATAGACATGTTTTGGTGAAAACTATGCTCTACTTTTCAATTAATGCCTGAAAATTACGCAGATTTTTCCTATACATTTTAGTCTTAATATTGGAATTTAATGCCCATTTCCAAAGCTGTCTCGGTGAAGAGTTTCATCCAAAAACAGGGGACGAAGGCAAAAAATGAGCTATTGGTTCAATTGCATTAAGATTTCTTTAGACCTTTTTGTTATTTTCTTGAAACTATTCTTTTCCGTCATTATATTTTTTTCTTCTATCATAATTCAAATATTAATCTAGAAGCTGACAAACCGAATTAGTTTCACTTCTTTGGTTTTAAAGGAAACTGTCCACTTAAAGATGAAAATGAAAATGCTAATACTTATATGAATAGAAAGTAGATGTCTTCTAATGACTTTGCAAAATACCAGTTTGTCTTACATGTTCAAAATATATTCAAATTAAAAGAGGATAACCAACAGAATTACAAGGAGTTACCGATCAAGAAAGGTCAAAAAGTCTTTTTTGTTTACCCAGACTGTACATACATGGGCATTTATGATTGGTTAAAACTCTTAATTATATGCAATAAGAACATAATGATATGATTTAGAATACATGATAATTCATTAGAAACACCAATTAATCAAATAGTTTGCTTAATTTGACACTAAAAAATAAGACAAACCACCTTTAAAGTATAAAGTATGTTTGACATAATGGACGACATAATATGTTTTTTGATTGATACCCAATTTATGCTACCAATTACTTTGGCAATTACACATTTCTATACGGGAAATACAAACGGTTTTTATATAAAGTAACATTTGAAGGAAGTCTTTGTTTTGTCTGAGCATGTTGTTTCAGTCTGAACTTTCATTGGCATATTCATTTTTCATCATTTACTGTATCCGGATACAGATATTATTTTACGTGTGGTTGTACCCCTTTAATTCAACAAACGTGAAAATCTGCTGATACAGCATTTTAAAAGTCTGAAGCGAGATCGAGGACAAACCGCCTACGTCGCTTGTCATTTTTTCTATCATCAAATTTTCTTAATGTCATTTATCTATCAATTTGTCTGTTAATATCTGAAGGTCGCTGGTATTAGTGTCATGAAGATTTATTGTCGACGTCGGGATTCGAACTCGATAACACCATTGTACCGACATAATGAGTTATACTTTAATATTGTATAGCAAATATTGAGAATGAGAAAGCTGTCTGGCTGACATTTCTGATCAAATCGATTTTTGAGTGGTGAGTTCAATATGTACAACCATGCAGCAACTGCTGTTCCATGGAGCAAGACATAAGTAATCCGAAATAGCAATGATAACAATAGAGGCAACTAGCTTCGGTAAACTCCAGTGTCATTTTGACATGGTAGCAAAGAACTTTACTAGAACCTTGCAGTATATGACATCAAAAAAATCTTATCTCGATAAAGGAAATGAAAACGGTAAAGATTCCAAGGTTTGGGTAAACTCAAAACTATATTCTGACAATGTATCTGCTAGCTAGCAGAAAATCATAATTTCGCATAACCGACCCAATCCTTTAACACGCTCATTACATTAATCTGATTGAAAAGGTTTTCGCAAATAAACTATATTCTGAAAATGTATCTGCTAGCATGTAGAATATTATAATTTCGCCTTACCGACTGAGACCCTACCCATTGTCTATTATAGCACTACTGGTATTTGTTATATTACGGGAAGAGTTATTGATATCAGAGTATGATGATTTATAGCTCTATCAACTTCTACCTGCTCAATATGTACAGAATAATATATCATTGAAACCCTTCAGGCACATTCTGGTACATGACTGCGTAATAAATTAACAGCTCGGCCAATCGATACAGATATGGACTTGCATATTATTCGGAATTGATCTGCTAACTTCCAAAAGTTTTTTTTTTGTATGGCCATTTGGACAATTTTCGGCTAGCACAGATACGAACAAACTGAACAACTCTTTTGGCTGAATTGCAGAAAAGTGGATAATTTCAGCCCCAGAACTCCAAAATTTTCGTTTTTGGAAAGCTACATTTACGGGTCTAAAATGGAAGCTTGTTTTCGACAAATTGCAACCAAGCTCCATGTTGGTTACCATGCGTTTCTTGCCATCAATCATTATATATAACGTGTAGCCTACATGATGGACAAGAAGACGTAAAACTCTGTTCTATTCTCTCGGTTCAGTATATTAGGTACTAACTGTTTTTCATTTGAAAATCTTAATTAAAGGTCCGTGATGTTAACTTTTTAGCTTGCTAGAGCTAGATAGTCTTTTTTCCAAGACAGTATTATCAAGCTTCATGTAGGTAACAATGTATTTATTGCAAACGACCACTAAATAACATATACCATAATGAAATAACAATAATGATACACATTTAACAAGAGGACGTAACACTCCATTAAATTCCCTCTCAATCCAATATACTATGTACCAACTGTCCTTCCAACCAAGTCTATTTGTGTCTGGATCAATATGGTAATCCACAGTATTATAATCTAATTGATCTGACCTTTTCATGGTAGGCAGAGTACATTTTATACACATTACAGCTCTAGAAATACCAGTTTTATATCTCCATAATCAATGGTGCTTATCATAGTAAAACAGTACACGGAGTTGTACTTTAGTTGATGAAGGGGGTTGCCGGAAGTAGGGAACCAAACTCTTTGGTTAAATAAGGACCAGGGGCAAACTCCGTAAGGGGACTTATACAAGTTTATTGGAATAACTGATGATCAACAAATAAGGTGGGGTTTGGGATTTAGGGTGTTCCAACGCTCTGGTTATTTTTTATCAGAGTATATTATGTACAATGAACTCCCTGTTAATCTATTGACCACAGACATTTTACAGAAAATTGGAATGATGCGAATTAGAAGCTATAAATGGCCTCGATACACATAAAAAGTATAGAAAAAGCTCTTTACAATTAAAGATAAAATAGGTGTTAATACAGCTATAAGATTTCCATTGCTGGCATCAAGGAAGTAACAATATTTGTTGTGAATTGTGAACGATTGCCTGTCATTTTTCATGATGTAAAAGTACACGGGAGAGGACGAAATAAAAAAGTAATCTAACGTCAAATCTTACTTCGTGTACACAGACATCATAGGAAAATACTTAATATGTTAAGCTAAAAGATGCCCTCACGCCATAGCGATTACCAGTTGCGTATGGTTACGAATATTTAAAATGGCTATTCTATTTCGCAACCATACGTAACTGGTGATCTCTATGGTGTGAGTGCACCTTAAAGTAATTCTTGCCCTTAGAATGAATATAACATTTAAATAATCAAACTTGATCAATATGAGTATTATTTTATTCATCAGTGAACTTACCTGGTGTCATAACAAAACAACAGAATATATTAGAATCTCAATAACAATTTTAATTGCATGTTCATTTTAAGACAATGGGTTGTAATTCTTTAAATATAAATGATAAAACAGATGATAAGACAAATTTGTCCTTTTGTATTTGTAATAGAATAAAAGAAAATACAAAGAAAACAATCGTGAGCTTTTTGTGCTTTGACAATGCTGAAAACTGACTTGAAATTAAAGAAACATAAAATAGAATTAAAAAAAAAATACATTATCGACAAGGATGGAATGTCAAGTATTTCAGATAGAAAACCGAGGTCCCTGAAGAATATTTTCAGTGCTTAATATCCAAGTTGTGATATCCATTAGGGTCGGTAAAAAGAGTGATATCGATTAAGGTCGGTTAAGTTGTGATATCGATTAGGGTCTGTTAAAGTTGTGATATCGATTAGGGTCGGTTAAAGTTGTGATATCGATTAGGGTCGGTTAAAGTTGTGATATCGATTAGGGTCGGTTAAAGTTGTGATATCGATTAGGGTCGGTTAAAGTTATGATATCGATTAGGGTCGGTTAAAGTTGTGATACCGATTAGGATAGAGTTTCAGATTGCAATTTGGATTCATTCACCTCACAAGACATGATTGTCTCCCTTTGGACAGAGATTTGTTAATATCGCTAACATTATAAAATCACTTTGGTATTTCCATGAAGGTTAATAGAGGATGTAATAATTGTTTTCTGGACTTCTTTTGCTCCGATTTACAATTTTTTTTTTCACCATAACGTTCAGCTATTTATTTTATTATAAAGATATTTCGAAAAACTTCGTCGCTAGGGCAGCTAATGTTGAAATATGAATATTCTTTTCAAATTAACATACATTAACATACATTAAACCGGAAGTTGCTATAAGAGACCTTGTCAGGGTTCCGCCATTTTGATTTACACCACAGCAGCATTCAGCACGTCACTTATTTCAGTTTATCATTATTATTATTTTGTATCTTTTCAGCACTTACTATGTTTATTACTACAAGCTCTGGCCTGTATCGCCTTAAATCCAGCATTTCACCAATGTCTACATGATGCGGATATCGCTGACATGTTGATGCAATTACTGCTCCCATCTGACGAATGGTACTATACCAACCACAGTACTAAGTATGCCAAATTTGTGAAGTACCATGCAGCAAGAATATTGGTGTATATGGGGCTGCTTCACAAACTGGGAGGACGGGTCGATCTTTTTGATAGAAAACGTAAGTGTGTCATTATTTTTATTGGATAACAATGTTTAGTGTCATGAGTTTTCGATCTCCCGAAACATTTGCATCAAACACAGTGAATGTTAGGTGTATTCCACCATAGACCCTTATATATCTGGTGCTTTAGAAAATAGAGAACTCTCATTGATGCATCACCTAAAACGAGGGGGGAGTCTAAATGTATGATCGGAAATGGAAAAGCGCCGGGTAAAATACTTTCAGAACGTGCTTTCGCTTGAAAATAACACATACGGATTTCTTCACATTTTGATTCAAGCATAGCAAATTATCCAGAATTTGCATAATGTTGGCAATTTTATATCATAGTTTTATGGCAATTGTTGTTCTTAACTTACATTTACAACTTGTATTTTAAAAAGAGAAAATTATAAATATGTACTTCACGTTGTATTTTCTTCATCTTCTTGCACGTCAGCGCTCGTTGATAAATTAATTGCTTGCTAAAATTACGAGGGTTGTGATAGTTTTTATAAATCCTGTCAATGACAGTTAAAGACAGCCAATTAACTCATGTCTGCTTCGTTTTATTTTGCAGCATTTCAAGAATTGAACACGACGGGAACCACGAACTTGTTACAGGTTCATTCTCCTGAGGACAGTTTTATTGAGTTGATGGCAATGGGGCATATCATCATCTGGAGTCCTAATCACACCCTACATGCAGCGTCTTTAGAGGGGTTAATAGCCGAAATTATTCAAGTAGGTTAGGGTCGTTTCGGGGTTGGTGGGTATAAGGGTTTGGGCTGGGGGCTAATGTAACAGTTTTGTTGAATTTAAGGCATTTTATCATTTGACGTCCTTATCATATTCTTTGGAGCATCGTTAAAATACTAATGCACCCATAAGTTGTGTAGGGGATTGGTAATATCTACCAGAATGAGAAACCAATCTTTGTCTTGGGGCATGAACCACACCAATGACCTTTACCATATCTCCCCTTGTATCTCTGGCCAATGATCTTGAATCATAAATAATACCGGTTTGTTATTGAAAGTGTGATGGAAAGCGGATTAGATCTTAATGACAATTGAATAGTACAGATTAGTGGCAATATCGATTTCTGTATTCCTAACTAACCAATGATATCGGACCGGTCGTTATCAAATGTACTTTTATAGAAGTAATGTCATTTAGAATAATAGAAAATTCTCTGGAAAGATGTGGTCAACTGTTACTCGTGCATTCCAACTTGAAGGCATCCTGTTATTATGTATATTCATTATACGAGTATGGGCTTGTTTATTTATATAGGGGTGGTGGTTGGGTTGGGGTGGGTCAGAAACGAGGCTGGTCGGACTTTTGATCCCCACCTTCAAATTTTCTATCATTCAACATAGTGAAAGAAGTGTCTGTGGCCCGCTGAAAAATTTTGTGGCCCCCCTTCACCTAACATTTCCGTCACTGTGCGCCGATTGATTATATATATATATAGTTTTTTAACAGTGTTTTTTGAAAGAAAAAAAAACTTCAGTAAGTAGGACACGCTGTTTCCTAAAATACCTCAGCGAAGTTGTAAGGTATTAATTGAATCTATTTAGGTGAGGAACGTGATTCTGAGAGCTTGGATACTATTAAATTTGAATCAGTTTGCAAAGAAAACATTAAGCAAGCTTAAAATAGACGCTGATCAAATAAAAACTTCTAGAATTGGAAATCGAAGCCAAATCAATCTTACCATCCTTTTTTTCGGTTTCTCGACATAACACACATTTTTTAAAACTCGGTTTCTTGTCTTGTAATTCAATTTTATTGTAAGATGGAATTTATCGCTCGATATTGCAGAAAATTTCGATTTTTATCGCGTTTTTGTAGTAAAATGGAGCACTAATCATTTTACACGGGGAAAGAATTACCTGTAAGCTTCCATAAGCAACTCTGTGATCCCAAGTCTCAAATTTCATGGAAACGCCACTGCCACTGTTTCGTTGTTAATTAGCTCCCAATGGTGGAAAAAGTGGGGCTTTTAACTCTATTCCATTTGGTTGATTCTAATTCTACTTACTCTGTACATTTAATGAAACATGTACATGCATTTAAAGCCTGATAATGGCACTAGTAACCTATAGCCTTAGGCAGGATAGGAATTATATGTTATATTATTACATGGCCAATAAACGTCTATAAATATCGATAACAGCTGAAGATTACGTTCGATAATCCCAGCCTAATTCAGGTTTTTACGTTTGTTTAGGTTCTTGAACTTTACGTGACTAGGATAATATCAGTAGGAAATAGTTACATTATGATTGTGTGTTCTCTAAATGAAGTTGTTTTAATAGAATGTGGGAGGGATTCTGCTTAATAGTACAAACCATAATATTTATGGCGGAGAGTTAAGGGGACGTGTAAACCAAATGAGAAGTTATGGCGGAGGGTTAAGGGGACGTGTAAACCAAATGAGTAGTTATGGCGGAGGGATAAGGGGGCGTGTTGATATATAACCCATCAGGTAAGGTGCTGGAAAAGAATCTGCTGAGTTCTGGGTTCTCATCCTATGCACTCGTCGAGCACCTCCTCTTTTAAGCCATGATTAAATAGCCCTCACCCTCCACTATCCAATTAAGGGTCAGGTCAGCTCCGTGAATTCACCCACCCTACTACCCCCCCGTCCCCTCCTAAAGCCTAGGTATGTACGCTACTGTCGTTGTCGTTCAGTTGGTATAAATGATGTACATCAATTGATATTACATACTTTTACTATATCTATTTCAGGAGGCGATAGAGGAAGAAAAAGAAAATCAAAATCCAATCATTCATTTATCAGGATCCGTGCCAAGTCTGTATGCGGCTTCCGAAACCGACTACGGCCCACGACTTCGAACACGGATCATATCACCTATGGCGTCTTCCACGGATTCTTTTGATAAACTTAATGCGTTTCAGAACGCAACCGTAAGAGAATACATCTTTACTGCGTTACCCATTGTCGCTCATCCCATCATCGTTCTCCGACTGATTGCACATAAACTCTTTGGAAATATGATCCGTCGCAAAACCATGTACTCGGACGCCAAATTAAAACCTCCGAAAGTGGAACGTTTGGACGCATGTCCTCCACGACGGGACACTATCAGTGAGTGCTCAGGTGATCCGTTGTCTAAAAGACGGAAGGCGGATTTACAAGTTGTGATTTCGAACCCAATAGATCATAGTGCCCCGCATATGACAAAATCTACCAGTGTTCAAGAACGAGAACTCCATAATAAAGTGAACAATACCAATAAAAACGGAACGACCAAATACGCTTTACGTGCAATAGGAGAGAGCCTGGTGACGCCGCTTGATCTCAACATACACCAAAGCCAAAACTCAGAACCATTGATAGACCCCAGTGATTCAATAGATCCCAAAGCATCCTCATCCAAAAAGCTCTTTCGTTGGCCGAGCAAACGTCGGTTGTCCAAACCAAGCATTGTGCATCAACAAAGCGTTCATCGCGATAGCATCGTTAGTATTGATGACGAGTTCGTTTCAAAGGAGCCGGAGTCGTTAGGCCAGGATGTGGATATTGTGGCCTTTCAAAGAGAACTGATCAACCTTCCAACGTTTGTGATGGAGACGCCGCCCGTGGATATTTCTCCAGTGTTTTCGCGGTCTAGCTCAGTGCCGGATAATCTAGCTTGTCGTACTGGTCGTACGGACACAGTGACCATTAATGGATCATTCAGCCAAATTGCTATCAGTGGAATGGATCTGGAATCTAATCTGGATCAGTCAAAGAATGCTATAGTGACTCCGCCTCAATCCTTGGATCATTTAGTAACTGGATCATTAGTTACCATAACAACTACGGACTGTGATAATAATATTAACAATATCCCCATGGATTCGTTGGATGATTCGGATTCCCTCGTCGATAACGTCCCAACTAATATCGTGGTGCATTTTGAAGCTCCGAGCTCCCCGCAACCTTCTACCGGAAGTCAGAGCTCGCAGCATGTTGTGTTCGAATACCCGCCCAATTCAGTGTGTATGTCCATTCCGAATTCATCCTCGTGTTCACATCTTCTTCCAAATTCCGATTCCTTAACCCTTTCGAGTCCGGTTCAGTCTCAGCCCCAATCGTCGTTCCCATCTCAGCTGTCTCCGACCGCTGTCAGCCATTGCAGTTCCATTTCTTCTCAGTGTACGGCTAAAAGTAGCAGCCCATTAAACAGTCCTTTTGAAATTCCTTACACCCACCGCGGAATATTGAAAGTGATGGAAACTTGGATATCTGTGTGTAGAGTGGATTTAGATGGAAATAACGTGATTGCTATGGAAACGCGAGACTTTCTGAAGAAACTGTCCATATTAGGGCACGATTACAAATTATGGTGCCAAAAAACCGGAGCATTGCTACATTTAGAGGTAGGTTGTAATCGATATCTCTGTCTACCATATTAATAGGAAAACAAATAATAGAGGAGAGAAAAAAGGGGAAATATTTACAAGCTTTTGATGTGGAAAGTACTGTCACGAACTCACCGTCTGTAAGTGGGTATTAATATAGATTTATTCTGAGCTCAATAATAAAAATACCGAAAATACCGTTATTGGCTATAGGGATTATACACAGGGTCAAGCTGACAAACCAGTAGCAGAGTGGAATCGTGTGTGCTGAAAGGGTTAACGTGCCCTGCTTGACATGCAGCTCTGACTACACTTGGGGTTTTTCATTTTCCTTGAAATACATAGATAAATAGATATTTATAGCGGGTTTGAATAAGATGTCTTGTCGTTCAAACACATGGGCAGTTGCAAAAATGAAAGAAAAGAAAAACTTCATTTGCTAATAAAATGTACTAAGTAGCAGGACATAAAACTCCAGTTGATTAAATAAAATATTCATCTGAATACAGATTATAACACAACTCAGACATTATCCACACATTAGAATTATTAGTACAAAAAGATCAACTTGTAATCAGACCAGATGCCGCCTGTGGGCAAATAATGAAGAATTGATCATAGACGTTGTCATTGTCACTATAGATTTCATGTATGGTACATTAGTCAATTACTATACAGAAATACTGCCCACAGGCATTCCAACTCGACCTCAAGTTCACTACTGATAGCTTCAATATTGTTTGATAAGGTGGTGCCTAAAGAGTTAATTATCACCAAGTTTGTATTCAAGCTGCTCTCCAAATCGTTCTGTACATTTCTTAATTGGTTGTTCTTTTATCACAGCTCAAAATAAAATTCGACAGTAGTTACCCCAATCCAAATAGCAAGTTGCTGTAGAATCACATTAAGAAAACCAACATTAACCTTTCTATACGCAATCCATAGGTAAAGATATCAGTGAAGTAAACATGGAAGTAGTGAATTAGTCATCCGGGACAATTCATATTGGAAATGAACGATATAGACAGTTGTCTTCAGAATCTAGCGTTGAGAAGGACATCATCTAACCAATATCAAGTTTTACTCTCAATAATATAAGACAACATGGATTTGTCAGTCGTAATTCAAAAACCACTGTGTAAAATGAAGAATCTATATAAGATTGTCATAATCAAACCTTCAACCATGTCCATACTCCATACTTTAAACTCACTTTGCTCTGTCACTATATAAACTTCATGACGAATTCCCAAACATCTATACTAAATGTTTGGTGACAGCTTACAAAATAAATAAAAATCTTAGCAATGTTCTTGTCCATGGTAGATTAGATCCCCTTTCATTAACTCCCTGAATCAATCGCTTTGCATTTCTGAATTATTTGTTTATCTTGTAAATCTCTCCGGAAGTAGGTAATTTTCTATCAAATTGATGTATTCCAATGCTGTAATTGACAGTCCCTACTGTCCCAGTGCTTCTATATGAGAGTTTCTCTTATAAATCCTTATACTATGCTCTTTCACTATGCTCAGCTCTGTCATTCAGTATTAAGCTTATATAAGAGGTATTGAATAAGGATTTAATTCCGTTAAGCCGAGTTAGCTCGTAATACTTTTTGTACACTGTTCGGCGCAAATTGTTTCTCCAACCCAACGTGTCTCTCCCTATGTCTCTCCGCTCTTCCTTTCCACCCCCTATTTGTCTGTGTCTGATGTAGAATAACTAAGTGATTAAGAGAATATAATTATACTGGAATTATATTAACCAGTTGACATACCTCGAAGCTAGTCATTACCACATGATGTGATGACTGCCTTCACTTTATATATACATAATATAAATAATATATACATACATAATTAATTAGTATGCATGCATAATTAAATGGTTGCCATTCGTTTGATCAATTGTACTTTTAAACGGGATTTTTTTTTAGCTAAGACAATCAGTAATAGTGTTCACAGCTCACCTTCGACATTTTAGCCTTCAAATCCATGTATGTCTTATCCGCGTTTGCATGTTGAAATAACGACTCGTCATTTCTTCAGCTCTGCTATATGTAGAAAATACCTAATATATAGAAATAAATAGAAAATAAAATTCCTAGTTTGGGGAATTATGCGATTTTAGTACATTTCTAGTACTTCTGAACTATACTTCTATAACTATAAGCCTAGACATTGGGAAATATTGACATACATGTTACTTGGTTTTCAATAAGATGTCCGGTATTGCTGATAAGGCAATCCGCTGCCATGTAATGGTGGAGAAGCCTTCGTGGAATTTCTCAGGCATCGGGAAAGATACGAAACAGACTTAAAAGACAAATGAATCAATTTGTTTTACTCTCTTTATCAAAACACAATCGTTGCTGTATACCAAGTGTTTCTTTTTAATGTTAAAAAAATCAATTTCTAGTACATTTTCTTAATAGATTTACCATTGACCTTCATTTGACCTTCAAGTTTCTCCTCCAATTTTCAATATGTCTTGACGGAGTTTTCTGTTTTCGGTTTGTAAAGTAAGTTACTAATACATTAATGTATTTGTGGTAAAAATTCTGCCTTGTTTTCTTCTGTAATAACAAAATTCCAGCTTCGATATTCCAGACAATATGTTTATTGAGTATATCATGATTAAAGGGACATAACTCTTGCTTTGTAGGATTTAAACACTGGAGATAGTCATGATAAAGAAATTGATGGTGCTGACAATATTAATGGACAATACTCAAAGGTAAGTGATATAAGGTTCGAATCTAGCGCTGTATTGTAAATTTTAGATGCTCCTACCTGTGTTATTTCACCTGAATGTTTTACTTTACCTGTAATTAGCTGAACCAGGTGTAATAAGGAGTACTGATGTCAGCAGAAACTGACCATTTTACATTGGATTAACATCATGCAGGAACATAGTTTACTTTCTTTTGCAGATTTGTTTTAAAGTGACCTCTTTGTTGAATATGTTAATTAGTATATTAAACAATAATTCATTTAGCCAGCAAGAAAACAGTCAAGTAGTCAAGAAAGGGGCTGGGAGAGGGGAATGATTGGATGTTTCACATCAACTTTAAACATTTATAACAAAACACTAATATATATAAACTGTATTTGTCACTAGGAGACTACACAATGTGAATATGAAAATTATATAATTGAATAATGAATAAAGGAAGGGTGAAAGCTTTGATAGATTGTGAATGGATGTAGAAAAGTAGAAAAGAATATCTCATTAATAAACTAAAATTTAAACCTCTACTTTGGGGGAGAATAGTAGAATGAAATTATACTATAAAAGGCCAAAATAAACAAATTTTTAAGTTTAATATTTTACAGGGGCATGGTCACATCAAACATAGGTGGATCAATTCTTTTAGAGAGATTAAATCATTATGGTTTACATTTGTTTATGGAGTACCCAAAGACATCGAGTAGTTATAATTAATTTCTTTGTGATCAGACCCAGTCTGAAATCTATGTTATAAAATTCTATTAAATTTGAACTCTGCATTTACTAAGGTTGATTGCAATAGCAGATTTTAATATTAACAATCAACTTTTTTTCAAGTTATTGTAATTACATTGTAAAAAGATCAAAGAAATTTGACATCAAATGCAACAAGATGATTTGTAAATGCCAGACATGAGAGCTCTCTTTCTTTGAAGATTAGAAATTGACACCCATTTTACATAGCCTACAGATGAAACAATTTAAATCTAGAATTACAATTACAAAAAGACATGTTAAAAAATGCTCAGTGCAATAATTGTAGAGAAATATAGAAAAATTAAAACAAAACTTGACACTCTGATTTTCAAACATTCTTCAGGCATTAAAGCCTTTATTCATACAATTGATCTTCTATATTCCTATACACCTCTGAAACTATTAAACATTCTGAAACTATTACTGAATATCTTTAAACTATTACATATTTTGAAACTATTACATATTTTGAAACTATTACATATTCTGAAACTATTACATATTCTGAAACTATTAAATATTCTGAAACTATTACATATTTTGAAACTATTGCATATTCTGAAACTATTAAATATTTTTTTGGAACATATTATATATTTTGAAACTATTGCATATTCTGAAACTATTAAATATTCTGAAACTATTAAATATTCTGAAACTATTACATATTTTGAAACTATAAAATATTCTGAAACTATTACATTTTTTTAAACTATAAAATATTCTGAAACTATTAAATATTCTGAAACTATTACATTTTTGAAACTATAAAATATTCTGAAACTATTAAATATTCTGAAACTATTACATTTTTTTAAACTATAAAATATTCTGAAACTATTAAATATTCTGAAACTATTACATATTTTGAAACTATAAAATATTCTGAAAATATTGCATATTCTGAAACTATTGCATATTTTGAAACTATTACATATTCTGAAACTATTTAATATTTTAAAACTATTACATATTCTGAAACTATTTAATATTCTGAAACTACTAAATATTCTGAAACTATTAATATTTCTACCATAAAAGGACACAGCCATATGTAACAACAATTACTGGTCTCTGGCAATGAATATTCATGATCTTGGGTTTTTAAACTGGCCTATTAACTTGCATGCATATATCCATATTTACATAACAACAAATTGAAGAATTGTAGAATGAAACAGTAAGAAAGCTGGTATTTTATAGTATTTGATTGTATATTTATACTATAAGTTTTCACTCTGCCAGTATATTTCTAACATGTGTTCTACCACATGGATGACATTTCAGACCTGTTTCATTCAATGATATTCTAGTCAAGATCTTAATATTGTGTGTGGAGTAAGGTAGAAAATTTAAATTTGATAACAAGCAAGGCCATGAAAAGAAATAAACAGATCTACTAATCCTCTAATTAAGTAATTAGTTTTCACTAATCACCTCTCTCTCTTTACTAACCACTGTTCTGGATTGACCTGGCCTTACAAGTTTATTTTTACCTGTAATCAGTGATCTATCCTCACCTTGATAATACATCAGCTACATCACTGGGATACATGGTTACCTTTAGAGTCATTAGTTACGCAGAATTTGTCATCTCAGGTTGTACTTTTGTGGATCCACTAGAGGAATGATAAAGTTTGCAGGTATGTTAATACATTATGGAAGTGATAAACATTGTTTCACCAGCTGAAAGAGTCAAATCAGCTCAAAACATTGTCACTTGTGATCTTAGAATTATATTTGGTCTCAGATATTCAAAAAAAAAAATGTTCACTTGCATGATATTTGTTATATGTCTTCAGATCCATCAAATATGAATCGATAATTTTTCATAAGACATTAACACACTTATTCATAAATTACACTTGAAAACTCTCAGTAACCTTCCCTGCAATAAGGGAATACATTTTGACAGTGTTTGAATTCCATCTAAATGGTTTAAAAAACTCTGTTGAAGCAATGGAATGGAATGAAGAACCATTTCTCTCTATTGAATCAGGAAAATCAGAATCAAACAGGCAGTTAAACCTAGAGAGAGGAAATATCACATAAACTAAAAATATAAACCACGGTGATTTCTAGTAAGCTATATCTTTATAGTAAGGACAAGGTAGTAACTTGTGAGAGAGCAAGATTCTGGAAATCTTTAAGTATTGGATTATTTTGTGGGTGATGTATTGGAATTAAGGGCACCATTATGGAAATTTTAAAAGATTTGGATTATAGTTTTGTCTGTAGTTTTATTTAAATTCCAAATAAGAAGAGATGTATATTTCTATAGTAAATTCGATTTGATTCTTTGTGAGAACGGGATAATTTCAAATGACATTTAAATGTTGGATGTAAGGACCCCATTCTTGTGTAATTAACTTGTGTTTTTCTTTGAAAAAAACAAAATTCATGAATTTACAAAAAATATATTTTTCAAATATGCAAGATCGTTGATTTTAATAGGAGAATTATGCCTTGGAAATTGAATGAAAGCATAAATGATTTGTTTTTGTTTTTACATTAAGAAAATCATTTTTCTGATTTTCAATAAATTTTAAGTAACACATTTGGATAATGGAATTGAAAAGAAAATCATTTCTCTTAAATAGTGTCATAGTTTCAGAAGCCTGTGTCATTGTTTTTATGTTTTTAACAATATTGTTACAGGTATAAAGAAGTATCTCAGGAGACTATTTTAAAAATTCTTATCTTGTTGTTGTGTGATATTGTCATGTTAGTTGTCAGGTTATAATTGAATTGTTGTTTTATCTGCTTGTAGTTCGTGTTGAACATGGCCCACATATTGGATTACCTTGCACTTTAATCTAGTTTTAAGACATTCTGGTTATTCCAGTAACTTGGATTACACCCTAGAAATAATGGTGTTTATAGAATATCATTTAAAAACCAACTAATGTATAGGAACTAGTTATTCCTCCTGTAAGCAGCTTATTGATAATCTTTAAAAAATATTCTTTAGCTCTTTAATATCAAAAATCAAAATAAATTTACCTTAGTTTATAAATTTAACATTAGTTGTGGACTCACTTAGGGATGCAAAGTTAACCATCTTAGTGGCAGAGTGACATAAGGTGTTCTTGAAGAGTGAGAACACTCGGCCTTGCTGATGACACTTCCCTAGAATTTATCATATTGGAGAAAAGAATATGTCAGATATTAAGAATATAGGGTATATAAGTGATATACACTGGTATCTGTACAGTTGGAACCAGATTGTGTTATTTTTGTAAGCAATAGTCTTATGGTTTAAACAAGGAAACATGTGTTGATCTGTCTTCAGTGTGATGTATTCAAATTAAACTGTTAACAACTTTTATAGTTTGAAGAGTAATTTTGTGTGGTCCTTGTGTATATATGATTTTGAAATTTCCCAGTGTTGGGGATTTGTTGTTTGTCAAAGAGTTGCCTGTGGCCCCCCTGGAAAAGTTTGTGGCCCATGCTTGGCCCCTCATCAATTTGTACTTTTATTTCAACATATGATGCTCAGTTATTTGCCTTTATGAAATAGTTTTTGTCAAGTTAGTATATCAATTATATTTTCCTACAGACCCAAGAAGTTTCAAAGACTTTACCAAAGACCAGTTACCCATGAGACTTTCTGTTTTAATAATCAAAGAACAGGTTTATTTACTGATAAAGTATTGTTAAAACCTGATTAAGATAGTTTCATTTAAATCAAAAAATAGTTTCATAGCTACCAAATAGACTAAATTAGAAAGTTAAAAATAACAAAACGAGTTGTTTTCTTGTTTATATTCAGAATATAAAGAATATTGTGGTGTTTAAAGAAAGATAAGATAGTATTATGTCATTGGTGACAAATTGAAAAAGAGGATACTTTAGTTTGCTGGTATTTTCATGTTTTATATGGTATGTTTATGGTATATGTAAACCTCAAGTAGATGGGTTTTTTCAATGTACTATGCTGCAACGTCTGATAGATTTGTAATATTTAAAAGATTCTTTACATTTTGAGGAGGATGTAGTGAAAAAACAGTTTAAGTTTTGAAGTTATCTATCTGAATAATTACTACAGTATCTACAATTTTCAAATGTTTTTTGGGATTTGTTCATAAGTTGGAGGACTCTATCTTTACGATGTACCTTATGCCCTAAGTGAACATAAACCAATTTAAAATGATTATAAACTATTAAATGGTAGTGGAAGTTCTAATATTTCTAATTAATATGTTTATGATGAGAGTTAATTGAAAATCAAACTAAGGCAATTTGTTATTATTCTTATCTTGATAATTAGCTTCATTTTAAACTTTTTATTCATATTTAAATTTAATAGATAAATATATCAAAACCATAAATTGGGCACTTTGTGGTGTTTTTTACTAGTTATGTATATTTTCTAACCTTTTTGGAGTTTTACTTTGTGATAAATCATTTGTACCAAAATGTATAGAAAGTTGCCTATTTTAACTGAAATTTTTTAGATGTTACAATTTGAATTAGGACACATTATTGTTGGTTAGGAAGTCCTGAAGTTTGTTGTATGGACTAATTTTTTTACACTTTTGTAATAAAGATATTATTATTATTATTATTATTATTATTATTATGAAGTTATTTTGACCAATGAACAATATTGTGAAAAGCAGAAATTTGTAACTTTTTGATGGATTTATCACAGTGTCATTGAAATTACACAGCAGCTGGTCTATTTCACCACTTTTTATATTGTGGTTTCTGTAGAACAATCTTGCACTGGAGTATTTCATGGAAAACAAATAGAATTTGATTAAAATAGTACATCTTTTAACAACAATTGTGTATAAAGTGGATTGTATTTCAATGTTGATTTTAATTTATCCTGAAGTGAATTGAATTGTACAACATTGATTAGATTTACATTGACATAATTTGGATATAAAATTAATCTGGATTGGATGATATTTTTTCATGTGGATTAAACTGATCAGGATTA